GGAATAAGGGGCCCCCCTCTTAGATGGATAAAAACTTATTTGGAAAACAGATCCCAGCAGGTCCGCATTAGACAAGAAGGCTCAGATATTTTATCTGATACCTTGCAACTGTCCAGCGGCGTCCCACAGGGCAGTACATTGGGACCAACGTTTTTCTTAATTTTAATAAATGATCTGACTTTCAACTTCCAAAATGGATTTCTCACACTTTATGCTGACGACACTTCCGCAGTGGTGAATTCTAACAATCTTGTACACTTAGCTTCTAAATCAACAAATTGTATCGCTGAAATGGAGAACTGGTGTCATCAAAATGGTATCATCTTGAACGTTGCAAAAACTGTATCACTGTTGTTTTCACCAATCAGCTCCAAGTCTGACCTAAGCCTTCTTGTAAGATCAGGTATATCAAATGTATCCATCAAACAGAGTGAAACTGTCAAATTTTTAGGCTTACTTGTCGACCAAAACCTTTCCTGGGATGCTCATACTCAACAATTAATAAAAAAATTATCCACAATGAATTTTGCCATTTTTCAACTTAAGAAGGTCACCAATACAGAAGCTTTGTTGTCCTATTATTATGCTTGTGTTAATTCTGCCCTAAGATATGGGTTACTTTGTTGGGGAAATAGTGAAGGAGCAAATAGAGTATTTCTTAGCCAAAAACGTATAATTAGGAGTATTTTTGGTATAAGACAAACGGATTCCTGTAGACCATTTTTCATTAAATATGGAATTCCAACTGTATACAATCTTTACATTCTAGAAGGAGCATGTTACATTTTCAAAAATCTAGACAAATACAAAACATGTGGACAAGTGAATAGTTATGTAACGAGGAATGCTCATAAACTGTATGTACCATCTTTCTCAATTGCTCAGATAAAGAAGGGGCCAATTCATACCTCGATAAGGTTATTCAATCATCTACCTGATTCTCTGAAAACTTCACCCAGCCTCTATATTTTTAGAAAAAATGTTAAAAAATTTTTAGGTGCTAGATGTTTCTATTCTTTGGAGGAATTTTTCTCTGACTCATAACGGTCCATTGTAAATAAGAATTGTGTTCAATATGGTTGATTATTGTGTCCTTGTTCGTATTCTTACATGTATTTTGAATGTATTATTATTATTGTATTGTTATTTCACTCTTTGTTATTTTAGCATAGCATATATTATGTTGACAATCATTTATTTTAAATTATGTCTATATTTTGTTTTAGATCATTTTTAAATAAGTGTAATCATAGATAAGTATTGACAATTTTCAATACTTGGAAATCCAAGTCTGAAGGAAATAAAGTATTCTATTCTATTCTATTCTACTTTGATGATGAACTTAAAGAAAAAAGACGTGAGCGTAATAATGCATACTACAATTTTAGGCATTGTGAGGGTAGTCTAAAGGAGGAACGTTGGAATGCCTATAAGATCATGAGAAATCAATATTGTGTTTTACTAAGGAAGAAAGAGAGATTATATTATGAGCAAACTATTGATAACAATAAAAGTAATAGTAAGGAAATGTGGAAGTGTCTGAAAAAAATTGTTAAGCCAAAACAAGATGTTAGTAGCTGTATACAGTTTGAGATTAATCACCAAAATGTAATTTTAAATAAGGAAATAGACATTGCTAATAATTTTAATTCATATTTTATAGAGTGTTAATGAAATAACATCAGTTTTTCAGAATGTACAACAGTGGACACATGACTACCCTGTTATATCAACTGATTTCACTGAATTCATGCCTTTAACAATCAATGACCTAAGAATCATTATATTCTCTCTGGACAAAACTGACAAAGCAGAAATTTTAAATAATAATTTCCTAAAAAATAGTTTTGATGTAGCTGGTTATGCAATATTAAATGTAATTAATACATCACTTAGAACCGGCGTGTTTCCTGATCAATTTAAGGTCTCTACTGTTGTTCCTGTACCGAAAATTAATTCAATCAATGCTGAAAATTTTAGGCCATTAAATATATTACCTACCCTCGAAAAAGTTTTTGAACTATCTGTATATAACCAATTAATTCAGTACTTTAAAAACAATGAATTGCTTCTAGGCAACCAATCAGGGTTTAGAGCTAGACACTCATGTGAAACGTCTCTACAATTTATAGTAAGTGAATGGAAAGATATAATTGATAGAAATCAGTACATTGTTGCAACGTTTCTCGACCTCAAAAGGGCATTTGAAACAATTGACAGAGCTATTCTAATTGAAAAATTGAAGTATTATGGGATATCGGGGACTGTATTGGATTGGATTCAAAGTTACTTATTCAACAGAAGACAAAAAACTAAATTTGGTAAAGAATTGTCAGATGAACTTATAATAGAGAGTGGCATACCACAGGGTAGTGTGTTAGGTCCATTGCTATTTATTATTTATCTGAACGATATTAACCACATTCCTGGATCACACTGTATAAATCTTTTTGCTGATGATACATTGGTTTATTGTGTACATGAAAACTTGGATCAGGCAATTGTTGAGATGAATAGGTCATTAAAAAGCATTGATACATATTTATTTAATAATAAACTCAAACTAAATACCAGTAAAACAAAAAGTATGATTTTGACATCATCTTATAAATATGATCAAATTGTCTGGGCAAATGCTGCCATAAAAATTAATAACATTGTCATTGAAAATGTCACTGAAATGAAGTATTTGGGTATTATAGTTGACAAAAACTTAAAACTAAATAGTCATGCTGATTATATTTGTAAAAAAATATCTAAAAAACTCTTCTTTTTTTCTCGTATATGTAAGAAAGTGTCTATGTATGCTAGGTTGACTCTCTTTAAAAGTTTAATTCAACCTCATTTTGATTATTGTGCAACATTACTTTTTCTACTGGGCAAAAATAAAATAGCACAATTGCAAAAGCTTCAAAATCGGGGTATGAGGTTGATATTGGGATGTAGCCGTTACACAGCAATTAAATTGATGCTAGAGTGTCTAAACTGGTTCTCAGTTGAAGAACGTATAATATTTATGACTATGATCTTTATATTCAAGCTGCAAAAAGGATTGCTACCCTGTTACTTTCATAAGTTCTTAGTAAGAAATAATGAAGTTCATGATTACAATACGAGAAGTAATAACAATTTTTACATAAAAAAAACTAACACTAAATTTGGGATGAATAGCATGTTCCATAAAGGATTAAACAAATTCAATAAATTACCTCAATTTGTAAAAGAATCAAGTTCAGTTAGACAATTCAAGTCATCATTAAAGAAGTTCATCAGTGACAGCTCCTTGTGATACTTATTGGTATTCCTTCTTTCTTTCCTTCTTCCTTCGGATTAATTGATATGATCCAATCTATATCGATCTATTGATATGTATACTTTCATTTTCTTCAAATGTACTCCCATATGTTGCTTATATTTATATTTACGTAACTTAACAAGGTTGTAAGATATCCATAGACTTGTAATTCATATATATATATTTTGTATATTAGGCTTGCCTACTTAAATAAATAAATAAATATATTTATTGATATTACCTCAAGATGGTTGTAGCTCAAGAATGCCTATTTATTAGGATGAACGAGGAATTTATGAGAGAAAATAGGTTGCAAGAAAACTGTTTTAATCTTCTCCTGAAGATGCTAACGTAGTTAGCGAAACACGTGTCGAAACGTTTAGAAAATCGGTTTGATTAGTGGTAAAACAGTGTAGTGTATTATCGTGCCAAAGGTTCCAGTCTTTGATATACTATGAAAGCACTTATTTTCAATTCTAATTATAATCTAGTAGCCATGAACCTGACAGCATAATGATAAGTCATTATTGATAAATACCTATTAGATTCAAGTGTCATTAATACATTAATGTGAATCTCGCATCAGAACAGTGAATTATGGTTAATTATAACAGAGGTGGCTATGTCTTTATTAACTAGTGGTTGATAAAATGACGAAAACTACCTTGGTAGTAAAAACCCAATTTACGCCTCAAAAAGGAGTAAATAATGGTATAGGTAGTGGTGGAAGAAAGCGTTTTACATAATAAATCAATGAAATGAACATTCAGACCACCCTTTTTTTAACAGACCACAAATCTCTATTCACCTGGGAATATTTTCGATCTTGAGTCTATTTATAAAATGAAAATATGTACATTTATTCAATTAGTATTTATAATCATAGTACTTTGAATTATAATGAACTCTGGACTGTCAGAATCATAACTAATTATGGAAAAAAGTCAATAATGATATTTTATGATGGAATAATTAGTATAAATATGTCTCTTTCTAATTCCCTAAAAAAAATTATAATATGCACAAGTTCAAAACGGTTCAAACTTCCTGCATAATTAAAAATTGTGTCAGTTTAACAGAATAATCCACCTGCTTCGCGGACGGATCATTTCAACTGTCAAACTGACACTCTTTGTAATTATGCAACAAGTTATAGATGTATAACCCGAATATGTTGAAGTACTTATTGTATTACTACTGATTATTATCCATATAATCATTGATGTTATTAAAACAAATATTATAGACTTTATGATCCCAATTATCAATAGTTCATAATATAACATAGAATATGTATCATGTTCATTTTATTTCAAGTTGAATCCCTGGATAAGAACATGTAATGTTTCTTGGGATTTATTATAAAAGAAGATATCACCAAACCAACAAACTTTTTACAGTAATTTTCATAATTTCTCAAGTCACCTTTTTTTCATTTCAAAAAGTATACTTTTTGTCCAATTGTTGCAAACATTTTTCTATATAATGCGAGGTAGATTCAAGATTCTATTTATCTGATGAGAAATGCATACTGACATCTTATAAGGTAGATTAGCAGTATGTTCTATGTGGTATCAGCTAGGATAGTAGCTTCTAGATTTCACAGGAATAATGATAATATCCATCCAATCAGTTCAATGAAGTTGTATGATATTCAGCTCAATATTCAGCACATGTTACTTAAAATTTAAATGGGTTTACTTACGAATGCAACTCATCAACATATCTGGCCATAGCCTCATTTTTGGACATATCACCAAGTTTTTTCCATGCATCATATTTAGCTCGACCCACGATATCCCAGAATGCAGGTCTAGATCCCTCACAAGAACCAATAGTGGCTTGTTTGAAATATGAGTAGAACCTCAACATCAACTCATTGCTGGGTTGATAAGAACCTGGAAATTATATTTTCCAGTTTAGGTAAATGCAGGGATATAATTATAATGTAATATACAGAGTGACACTCGGCAACACTATGATTTGGAAATAAGTGTTACACAAAGAATTTTCCAGATAATAAGGTTTTATTTACACCAGAATGAAGCTTATACAATGCCATTTATGATGTGTATCAAGTATGAAAGATTATGTCATCTGAATGTCATCCAAATTAACAGGTTTGTGAGCATACACTGGATTCTTTAAATAATCCCACAGAAAAAATCACAAATTGACAAGTCTGGTGACCTTGAGGGCCAAGGCACTAAAACATGAAATGAGTTTTTCTGGGAACATGTTGCTGATAACATTCATTGATGCAGGATGTGCTGTAACACCATCTTAACACTAAAACATAAAATGAGTTTTTCTGGGAACATGTTGCTGATAACATTCATTGATACAGTATGTGCTGTAACACCTTGTTGAAAGTGGTTAGAAGTGATGAACCAATGGTACTCCACACTGTAACTTTTGGAGAATGAAGAGGTAGTTCATGGATTTCCAGGAGTGCAGTACCTGGAATTCTGTTTATTAACTGATTAATCTGAATGAAAATGAGCTTTGGTTTTCATTAGAAGCTGCAGACCTAAATTGTCATCCAAAATCACTTGCATTCTAGTGAAATCTTCAGGACCTTCATAATCTCCTTCCTTTAATTGCTTAACAATCTGTAGTTTGTAGGGGTGGAATTTCAAATTCTTTTGCAAGATTCTCTTAACTGATTTCCAATTAAAATTCAGCTCCATTGCATGTGTTCAGGTTGAACGTGAAAGACTTCTTGTGACTTTTTCTTCATTATACTGCCAGTTGTCCATAAATTATTGAACCATCTTATGATGGTGCTGGGAGTCAGAACAGCAATATTAAACTGAATGTGAGGAAGCACTGTGTACTTATCACCATTTCAGATAAACATGTCCTATGCAAACATTTCATGCTCTACTGTCCATTGCTCCATTGTTACTGAAATGGCACAACACTACAAAGGTAGTAACAATAGTAACTCTCCTCTAACATGGTAAGCTCCATACTATGTGGTCCATAAACATTGGGTTCCCTTGTGTCACCCTGTATTAGGAAATTTCAGAGAACTATGAAAATAAGAGGTAACAAATACACCTATATTCTATGTTGTTTACATAATTTATGAGATCATTAGGTTTTCAAATAGGTAGGTATCTCATGTTTCAGTTTAGTCCTTGACCCTTGCACTGCTTGAGGAAAATTGGAAACATGGGCCCATGTAGAAACAGGTCCACAAACAAAACACAATTGCACAAAATCTACAATATTCTTACCTTACTTACATATGTTTCTAGTCAAATTCATATTAACTATATCAGAATATTCATTACTAAAGAGATGAAAATTTGATTAGGCATATTGGTATAACCTCGGGTATATCAGGTACAACCAAGCATAATATTATATTGAAGAATTATGTAGGCAAAATGCAAGTTGAGGACTTGAGACGAAAACAATGATTTACCATTTTTTGGCAAACTCCTAATAACATTAACAGCTGCGTGAAATTTCTGTTCAGTAGTCATAATCACAGTTCACACAAAAATTTACTTATAACAAAATAATAAAGTATCACATTGGATTAGCACATCCCAATTTTAATACAACACGTAAAACATGAATGAGTGGCTCCACTTTTAATTTTAATAATTATTTATATTTTATAATTTTATATTCTTTCATCTGAAGTTGAAGGTAAGATAGACCTACGTGAAGTGGGCTGCCAAAGCTGGCTGCCAGAATTTCCGAATTTTCCCGATTGACCAGTGGCACGCGTTCCCCTCCTTTTGGGGTGAGACGGAATAATATTTTCTGAGAGGTTTAGAAATTGGTAATTTTCTATCGAGACGTGATATATCATCACAGAAGAACGTTTGCTGAGTTCGTTCCAAGAAGTGATTCCTGAATATTAAATTGACTGATAAATCCTTTTCTTCTATCGTGTGGGAACCGCGTATTATATGGATGAAGCGTAAAATATATGCCACAATCCTTTATAATTTGACTAGGTATGATATTTGGTTGAGCAGGTGGTCCAAAGAACCTAACGTTACAATCAATATTAACGCCAATTCACGCTCTCCTCTCAGCTTGGAGAGATGAATCAGGGAGGGATAGAGTAGGCAAATGGACTAGCGTCTAGCGCAAGGAGGTATTCCTATAAACAACGTAGTGGGAGAACCGCGCCAAGCGAGACGCGGGCGCGGGCAAACATCAACTGTGCCCATCACCTATAGCGACGCGCGGCTGACAACACATGTTATTAAAAGTCTAATAACACAAAACTAATACTTTGAATACTGATATGAGGATTTGGAGATTGAGGCCATAAAATGAAAAAATAAAATTGAGATACCTATACCTATTATAGGTATTCATAAAATACAATATTATTCTTTAAGCATTTAAGTTTACATAATATCTGAATACATTTTTTCTTTAATTAATTACTAATAATAGGACTAGTGATAATGGCAAGTAAGTTGATATATTGTCAGTATATATTTGTGGTATCGTAATGGTATAACCCATAATCAGTGATAGAATAATGTACAGAATGAATTATTCCATTTGAAAATCCAAAATTGGTAGATGGTCAGAATGACGTGGTCATCGCAGAGAGTATCTGGAGAAAATGTGAAGTTTTATATATATTACATATATACCTCATAAATATCTCCGAAAGCGGTAAAAAAATATACAGAATAGCTACATTACATATATCTTATGTATATTTGAAAAATAAAAACACGAAAATATAATCAAAAATAGTTGCAAAATATACAAGGTGTTCGATTCACCGACGTATATCTGAAAGGAGGCGGTGGATAATGTGATTTTGAACATATTCAAATATGCAGGATCATTCACCTAACGAATTATGAGATGTTTATAGAGAACTGAAAGAGGTTTTTTCAATATATAGGACACCCCTGTACATTATTGCATTTTTAGATTTTCCCTAAAAAGCTGATTTCATCGATACATTACACTTGGGGACCTTGGGGTCTAGCGGACATGATTACAGATAAATAGGGTGTTCAAAATCGGGATTTTTCAACTTTGGTTTTTTTTGTCGAAACTATTTATTATTGGTCAAAACGGCTTACATGTCCTTTTCTATCTACTAACATTTAATTGCAACAAATACAGTTGGTTCGAGATTCGGATCATACCATGATGTATCTCTTTCAATTTAATGTCAGTATGGATAGATATAGTAAATCGAGAGTTGAGATAGGAACATATGAGCCGTTTTAACCAATAATGAATATTTTCGACCTAAAAAAAATCATAAAATTTAAAAATCTCGTTTTTGAACACCCCTATTCATATATCTGTAATCATTCCCTTTTAATCTATGCCGCTAGTCTCCAAGAGTGATGCATTGATGAAATCGGCTCTCCAGGGAGAACCTAAAATGCAATAATATACAGGGTGTCCCATAAAAAAAAACATCATCAGCCAATATCTTGGAATTCGAACACCCTATACCGCGTGACACAGATACATGGTATACCAACCTTTTCTCCTTTGGTTTTCTGTCTATATTTCTGAAATTTGGAACATCGAATATGCTCACTATAGAGGGCTTTATCTCACATTTTAGGAAATTTTTTTCATCTTTCAATTCCCCTGGAAATGAGATCAACTTTCGATTTTCAAATGGAACACCCTGTATTTCATTTCATATTCGGTTAGCGATTATTATAACGAATTCAACAATACCGGGTAAGATTGGGTTATTTTGAACGATTACGAGAATATTCGCGTTCGAAATTCCCATAAGCTCAATGAGTCTGACAAAGATAGAAGTTTCCATATTGCGCCGTCACACCCATCGCTCTTATGGAAACTTCAAACGTGAATAACTCCGTAATTGTTTGAAATAACCCAATCAAACCCGATATTGTTGAATTCGTTATAACAATCTCTAACCGATTATGGAATGAAATACAGGGTATTCCATTTGAAAATCGAAAGTTGTTCTCATTTCCAGGAGAATTGAAAGATGAAAAAAATTTCCTAAAATGTGAGATAAAGCCCTCTAGTGAGCATATTCGATGTTCCAAATTTCAGAAACATAGCTAGAAAACAAAAGGAGAAAAAGGTGGTATACCATGAGTCCTTGTTTCCCGGTATAGATATAAAAATATTTCGATATGAAAGTTATCATGAAACACTATTACCATTCTGTATTCGAATTTTTTCAAATATGTATATATCTGACGGTTTGGCTATAATATCGAAGGAGGACGCACTATATTGACTCACCCTGCCCTGTAGATTACATGTTAGTTAAGAACTCCGTATTCAAATATTCAATTCCATAATCAAAACTGAACCATATGATGTACCGGGTGATTCACCATAAATGTCCCCCCCTTTAGCTCATTTATTTTCGAACCGATTTCGAAATTTCGGAAATCATCTGAAATGATTTTTCCAGATTTTTTTTCTGACATATCAGAACATACAGGGTGCTCGGAACAAACGATCTACAGGGTACTAGTTGATTTTTTCGAATGGAACACCCTGTATTCCATTGCATTTTTAGATTCTCTCTGAAGAGCTGATTTCATCAATATATCACACTTGGGGTCTGACGTTCATAATTACGGAGATATAGGTTGTTCAAAATCGAGATTTTTTAATTTTAGGATGTTTTTGTGTGTAAACTATTCATTATTGGTCAAAACGACTCACATGTCCCTATCCCAACTTTTCATTTACTATCTACTGACATCAAATTGGAACAATACAGGGTGGTTCAAGATTCAGAATTCTGATCGCCCTGTATTTGTTCCAATTATTAAATGTCAGCAGATAGTAAATCATAAGTTAACATAGGAACATGGAAGCCGTTTTGACCGATAAGTAATAGTTTCAACAGAAAAACATCCTACTTTAATTTGAAAAATCTCGATTTTTGAACACCCTATATCTCTGTAATCATTCCCGCTAGACCCCAAGTGTGATATATTGATGAAATCAGCTATTTAGGGATAATCTAAGAATGCAATGAAATACAGGGTGTTCCTTTAAAAAAAAACAACTTGTACCCTGTCGATCGTCTGTTCCGATCACCCTGTATTTTCTGATATAGCGGAAAAAAACTTAATCAAATGATACCTACCTACCTATCTACAGAGATAGTCTGCTAGATCTTGTAAAAACTATCCGAACATACCTACTTAACGAATGAACGTGTTACAATAAGCACCTATATACCCGATTCACCCTGTATTCATATTTCTAATATTATTTTTACATAATTGTTCGCTCCAACGTTCGTCGGGCATGTCGATAGGTGAAGGCATAGGTGATGTTTGTTTGTCCGCGTCCGCGTCTCGCTTGGCGCGGTTCTCCCACTACGTTGTTTATAGGAATACCTCCTTGCGCTAGACGCTAGTAATGGTAACATCAAGAATGCCGATCCGGCCACAGTAGAGAGCTTACAGAGCTCTCTACTGTGATCCGGCCCACCAGAGAAAATAATCACATAATTCCGAAGGTAATGCCCCGACCAATGACGGCCCCGACTAGCACAATTTGCTGCAATATTTGGTGGGAACATGACGCCAGTGGGAACGGGAAATTTTCTCCTGAATATAGAAACTTTAGTTAGTGACAAAAGTTTTGTACTTGTGCTGTGAATTTTTCATTCATGTGGAAGCAGTTGTAGAATCTGGCCATGCATGAACTTCATCAAAAGTGATCTTGTTTTCTAGGAGTTCGGTGAGATCCGCGGTCCTTGGTAGTGAAATTCGTTTGAGGGGGGCCACCTTTAGACTTTGCACATACCAAAAATACCTGAAGGGGATCAAAACCGCTGTGGTAGAACCTGAGATAAACAACTGCAGCTTGCAGCATATCCTCGTTCTGAGGCGTCACAGAAACCATGAAGAGAATTAGACCCGGATAAATTTGAAATGATTTATCTGGGTAGCTGAAACGGAGATAAACGAGGTAACTTAGCGACATATCGCTCCAAGTGACCAGAGATTATAGTCCAAATGGCCTGTTGCAAATTTCGACCATCATCTGATAACGAAATGTTATGTCCCAGAGGTATGTGAAACCATTGTGGTTCATAGAACGTCACCTGTGCCAATCACTATCCTGAACAAGAGGATTGAACAATCACACTTTCCTGTGCGGAAATTTGTACTCGATTTCGCGATTTGAAAACGAGATAAGAATTATGCCATCTGATACCGATTGAATGGTAGATTTCAAAAACCTACGTGTGCCACTCCTGTCTGAGCCAAATTCACAGCACAGCGATTTATTTGGTAGTATTGAAAGTTGAAACAAGAAGCAAATGAGAGAGGATGATGTTACCTTTGCGAATATTCGAACGTGCCGCGATTCAAACTGATCTAAATTAGTGGCAGAGCGTCAAAACTTTCGAGAATATTTCGCCCCCCCCCTCTAAAGATAATATCCGATGGACCAGTGAAAACTCAACATGTGGATCAGAATACTTATAGTAGTACACGGATCCATCGGATATCATCTTTCGACAAGGACGAAATATTCACGGAAACATTGACGCTCTACCACTAACTTTTAGATCAGTTCGAATCGCGGCACGTTTGAATATTCGCGAAAGGGACATTTTTCCCTTTCATTTGCTTTCTGTTTCAACTCGTTATCATCATATGACGGAAGTGTGTCCGAAATAATAGGAGTACAT